TTATTTTTATAGAGGGCTTCCGAAAAATTAGCCAGTTTATCAGCCAACTTTAAAGTCTATACTAGCCCTTCTTTCCAAATAACTTGAACGTTTGGCAAGCTAACGCAGACGCAGTGTAAAATTCCGACAGCCATAGGCTTACTCCGTAGCCTATGGCTGTTTAAGTCCGACAGCCATAGGCTTACTCAATCTAATTCCAATACTACAGTGAAGCAGGCGCTCAAGTTGCAAGAGAAATCCACTTACGGGCAATCAACCCTTTTTAAATATTATTATATTAATATTAAATATTGTTATTCAGGGTGTAATACAACAGGCCTCCAAGCGGTGCACCCTGGTTAATACTAAATCTGCTACGGCTTTGCCACCTTCCTTGTGTCTCTGGATATTTTGCTGACAATTTTTGCAAGATCTGTAAAGTTTTGAGTCTGCTTCAGGGGAATGCTGGTGGCCTCTCACATGAAACATGGACTCAACTCCTAACTGTTCTAGATAAGGAGGATGTTGATGTGTTTTCCGTTGTTGAAGCTAATCTGACTTATCCTTAAAATTCCACAATTCCCCTGGATACTCCTTACATATATTACCTAAATCAAGACAAGTCGCAGTGTCACAGATTTGGTTTGTCCTGAAGTTTGCAGAAATGAAGTCCATTTTACAATTTGTATGTGTTACAGCCCACCTGGTAACGCAAAATTAAATTTTGACACTCTCTTTCGCCAGATAAAAAAGGCTAATGGATGATTTCAATGCTCATAGCACTACATGTAACTATGCTGACTACAATAGTGCAGGTAGAGTGATAGAAGATCTTCTCAACTCCTTTAAATCTTCTATACCACCTACCTCCATTATAAAGGCACATCTACAAATCCTGACCTAACTATGGTTGAAGATGATCTAGCACCTAACGCCGTAAGAAATGTAATTTACGACCCCGGCTCTGGACACAGAGCGATCATTACAACAATCAGGGCAAATACTCCTGCAAAACGAAATACTAAATATAGTACACCCCAACGCAAATGGAGCTTTAAAAAAGCCAACTGGAATGCATTTACTACAGATCTAGAACAAGGTTTTGAAGATGATAATAGATTCCAGATTGGGAACATTGATATTTCGTTTAAGAAAAGAACAAAAGGTTTCGGTTTCAACTTAAATCTTTAATCTGATTGGCTAAAAGATGCCTGCATTGCAGCATTATACAATATGGGATAAAAGGGATTAATATTTAAATGACGAAGTTTGGATTTCTGTCTTATAAATAGTTACTACTTTCAGGACTGAAAGCAGAAGTACCCAAATTAAAATGAAGATTAAAGGGGCTATTGCAAAATTAAAGTTAGCAACTTGCTTTCATAATTTTATCTTAAATATGTATATTATTAACAATAAAATTATGCACAACAATTACTGCAGTTAAAAAGCTTTTAAAAGCAAACAGTAATACCTACAAATAGTAGTAAATAGTTTGAATATAATATGTAACTATCAAAGAGACATGCATTGCTGTCCATTAAAATTGCAACACCATGAAGGAAAGCAAATGCAAAAAGGATATTTATTGCACGTAAACAGTACGACATGAAAACAAAATGATTAAATTTGTAAGCATTTTGGAGGTTCACAGAGGAGCGAAATTAGTAGAAACAGCTGCCACCCCTGGCAGTTAAAACGGTCCTTAGCACATTAGGCATGGAGTCAAACTGGGCTTGGATGACAGAAATGGGCAACTCATTCCATGCTGCTTCACGTCTATACTACATTTCAGCAAGCGTATTAGCTAGAGAGGAGTGGCGAGACAGTCTGTCAGTAGGTAGCCCATGACAAAATGTTTTCAATGAGTGAGAGATCTGGAGACCGTACACGCTAGAGCAGCAATCGAATACCTGCGTATCGAAATAGGTCAGAACACTACGTGCAATATGTGGTCTTGGATTATCTTCTTTGAACATGGCGTTTGGGGACCTCGAAAATAGGGCACAACCACTAGACGTAAGATGTCAGAAATGTACCTACCTGCTTTCAAATTACAGTTGATCCGAACTAGAGATGTGCGTGTCGTGTACCAAGTGGCTGCCCAAACCATCACACCAGGTGCAGGGCCCCTGTGCCGACATGGCATGTAAGCAGGTGACGTGAGGTCTCCTCGGACACTCCGGGCACGTATAAGGCCATTCGAATACTGCACGTTTGACTCGTTTGAAAAGGCGACATTGCGCCACTCCTGTACCCAGTTTTGTCGTTTGGCGCACCAGTGTCACCGTCTCTCTCTGTGCTGCATTTTCAAGGGAAGTCGAAGTAAACGTCAACCTGCTGATAGTAAACGCTGCTACAAAAGTCAACGCACTTTACGAGCTGATACTGGGCGTGCTGCAAACATGCCCATTTCCTGACTAATGGTCTGTGACCTGGTCGTACGGTTTTGCGAGGCTGACCTCACAATATGGCTGTCCTCTCTGACGTTAGTCATGGTAGGGCGTTTATTTCCTCCATACCATTCACTATGACCCTCAGCAATCTATTGATTCGATATTCGCGAGACATTGGTTGGATGTCGATCAGTGCGGCCGGCGATATTACGGAACGATAATCTACACTTTGGATAAGCAACGATCCCGCCTCTATCAAATTTTTAAACTTGCTGGTAAGCATTTCCTCTTCTTTTTAGAGGCATAACATGATATTTTGACCAAATTCCAATCTTACAAAGTACATTCCGTATGAGAAATCCACTACACAACTTTTCTTTTATGGAGTTGCTTCAGATTTCGTTTCTCCCTCCTTTGTTGTCTAAATGCGCTGAAAAATTAATCATTTGCATATCCCAACTTCCTTTCATGTGATTTTGACGTTCATCAGATTATTCCTTCCTCGTGTTTCAATTTTAAAGGCAAGTAGTGTAAAAGCCGATGTGCATTGTGTAATGAAAGCTAAATGCCCAGCCTGGTATGGGGCAGGTTTGCGAGACAAAGAAAATGCCGCACCATGAAAGAATACTCGAAACAGACCAGACTATACTCAAAGATAGGCAAACTGGCTCAAAACAAACATTTTATAATTTTCACATACAGCATAAATTATTATATACGAAATAATTTAACATACATTAACTCTGAGGACTGTTGAAAGCATTATTTCTTGTAATAGATTACGCTAAAATTAACATTGGCTCCTGCGAAGTAGAATTAATTACAGAAAAAGATTCCAGACCTATTCTCTTAAAGGAGGAAGGCTTTCTAGGATCTAGGCACGAATGACTTGGCTTATACTACACATAGGAAAAGTTTAGGAAATCACGCAGCTATGAAAACAACCCAGGATAACAGCAATTTCTACAGCTTTAGCCACTCGGCCAGTGGTAAGTACAGCTGACAAAAAGAAATGAAAGGACTTGAAGCAATCATTCTGTTCAGCTTGGTTAGCGATAAAGATGGACGAAATCATCCGTTAATGGGATCAAATCAAAACCGTGCACTCACTGAATAGGATCTGTCCCTTTTTGCGACACACCCTCACTACCAGCAACCTTGATTAGAGAACATTAGAGTAAATTCGGCTTTTTTATTGTAATAAATCATAAGACAAATAAAATAAACATTTATTCCAATTTTTATACCATATATATAAAAGGAATGTTTTTCTGACTTTTTTTGTTTTGTTTTGTTTTATAAAAAATAACACATAAATCCAATTAAATTAAATAATACAAAAAATTAAACATTTTTAATTTTTAATGACTTTGATACGTTTCACTTTTCGAATTACATATCTTCAGAAACTTGATTTCCTATATCAGATTCAACATCAAGTCGGTTTCTATGTTTGGATTTCATTGCACCTTAACGTGAGAAACCTGCTCGTGCAAATACATTGTCGCAAAAGGAACTAAAATGCGAATAGCTCGTTTTGATAGGTTTCGATATTCATACGCCAAACTTATCCATAATTGGCTTAATAGCATCTCCTTAAATTTTAGTTTTAGGACGCAATCAGTTGTCAAATCAATTTACCTAAGTTTCGCAATTTTTTTCGGAACTCTTAGTGATCTCTTAAGGAACACAAGAGTTGCACGGCACATAGCTTGGGAAACGCTGTACTATAAGACCGCACTGGCTTTGCTATAGTTTTGAATTTTTAAGATCTAAGAGTTTGGTTTGAGACAACTATAAAAATTAGTCCTAAATAAAATTTTTACGTAAGTAATTGGGATATTAAATTTAAATCTTCACTTAATATCTGCCTCTAAAGTGTCTTAAGTTTGATTTAATAACACAATGCTAACTGCTTGAATTCTTAATGTTGGGTAGTTTTACTTAAGAACTGGCACTAATCTGATTATATTTAATTAAATAAATATATGTATAAAACATTACATAGTGATTTGAATTAAATTTTCACTGGTTTCAACTTAATGGTTTCGCATAATTAATTTATTAACCTTTTTTTCTTCATGCCTGATGCAAAGCCATATAGTTAATAGATTTCTAAACATTTTATCACGCTAGATAACTTTCATAAGTTACTTTATGGTATTGAAAAGTTCGTTAATATAGCTAAATATCATTATGTTGATTTATTGAACACGTTTTTAATATAAAGACATGTCTAAAACCATGCAAGAAATACTGCATCAATGCTTCTGATATAAGCAAAACGATATATGCCCATCACTGAACCAACTATTCTATATTTACTGTAAGTTGATAATCACTTGATATGATGCAGTTTATATGATTTTCTTCTCCATCGTTTATCTGGCTGAATCATCTTACAGTATCAATCCAATATTAATTATTGCTGTCTTCCTTTGCTAAAATTTAATTCTCTTAAAGCTACTCAATCCGCTAAACTGCAAGAGGAAATTTAAAAATAATATTTTTCTGTTCCATGCAGAAACCAAGATTCATTTTTAGCATAGCCATGCAAATGAAATGTAAAGATAAGAAAAATGTCTTTAGTTTCTTATACTTAATGATTTATCATTTCATTCCCAGGATTCATTGAAAAGTTCTCAGTCATCCAACCTTAGTTGGGATTCTGGAGTCTATGAACTCGAAGATTCAAGCATCATAACTGAATATTCTGACCCGGAAAAGGTTCGAGAAGTAGACAATGAATTTAAACATCAAGATGATTTAGGTAAGAAAATATTAAGTTTCTTTTAAAGTTTAATTAATTTTTAAACTCCGTTTTTATTATTTTTTATCTGCTTGAAACATTCTGTTTTAACTATAGGTATATAGCCCATGAGAAATAGTTTACCCTCAAGGTGCAAATTAATCATACATTATCCTTGAAACAAAATTTGAACATATGACTTCTAATAACTCTCCTGAGAATTAAAATCAAAAAGGCCATAATCAACATAAAAAGGGCATAATCAACATAAAAAGTGTTTATCACAGCCAAAGATTACAGAAACCGTCAATAATTATAGATCAGGTCTCTCTCTACGTTAAGAACCTTTAATGGGGAAAGTTATGAAAACTTCAGTTGGAGAATTTTATTAAAAGAAAAATACTTAACTCAATACCATTCATTTCAGTTTCGTGAAGGTAAAGTATCGGAGGTTATAACTCAAAGTTTTAAAAAACAACATTTTTTAAATTGAGTAAATAATATTTTTGGACGCTAACGCATACCAAGAGAAGGTTGAGGGAAAGAAGCACTTTAAAAAAAAAAATCTACGCATTTTCTCAGAATCAAACACTTCGAAGTACCAGAACGATACGCTAGATGGAACACTCAGCACATGGAGAAAACACTTTTAATGATTTACTCTAACTACATCAGTTTATTTTGGGTGCAGGACACAGAGCTCAGAGTGAGATCAGTTGTGTGAAGGACCTGAAGATAATGTATCCTCTCCCGAAGTCAAACGGGGATTTTCAGCATACTGGACTAATGGAACCGCAACAAAAGCAAATGGGAAGTATTAAATTCTTTACAAATTTGTATGCAGGTATAATATTGTTGCGTGCGTACGGATTCGTAATATATTGAATGCACAAGTCCGATAATAAGTTAATGAAATTTATTCTTATCAAAAGAAATTTATCAGAACTCTGGAATTTTCCTCAGAGATATTCGTACAAGTGTTCACAATATCACGCAATAATAATCAGTAGCTATACTTCAAACTATTAAAAACGTTAAATAGAACGCAATGCACTGCGTAGTTTAAAAAAAAAAAAAAAAAAAAAAGCTAATCCGATCTCGCGCTGAATTCTCAACAATAACTACATCAGCTAACTAAGCGGCTGCAACAACAAATAACTACTCCCCGGCTTTAAATAGTTTTCGACTGGTCGCGCGAAATAGTTCTAGCATTTTCTGCTTCTAGAGATTGCTGGAAACCAATAAGAGCATGGAATACGGTTACACTAACATAGTGGTCAATTACGTTTATTCAAATTCAATACAAACTAAAGAGATACCCATTTATTAAATGTTAAATGCAATTTTTACTTTTCCGGCATAGCTTGCTCTTAAAATTTGTCTTGTTCGTAACAATATTATAGGAAATATAAACCCTGAATATTACAAAAAAATTTTATTTTTACCAAATGGTGTCTAATTCTCACAAGGCAAGAGATATTCTGATAACTTTCAGCTCTTAAATATACATGAAATTTTATTGTAATATGGATAAACCCAATTTAAAGATTTCTATCCCCATTCTTTGCAAAAGCAATACGTTTTTCTTGGTTGACTTTCTTCGGTTAATGCATTGCTGAGTCTTTCGGCTAATACTATTTTTTGTTAATATTTCGTCGCAACTACGCACGTCACCTTCACAGCTGATATGGATCTAGAACTTAGTAACATAGGCACATTAAATTCTTTTACATACACATCTCTTAGTAAAATCTTATTGAATTTGCTTCTTCGGAACTTTCTTCTTCGCTATATTTAACTCGATGGTCTTAGAGAATTATCAGATTCTTTTTCCAGTTCTTCATAACACTTGCATACTAGTATGGCATTTAAACAACTCAACGGCAAGTCACTTTTATGGTACTGTGAGTTTTATTTGCTCATTGTTGTGCAAATTACTAATTACTTTCGCTTTTACTGCAACAGGAAATTTATTTTCACATTTTTGTGTAAACCGCACTGTCTTGTCTTTCAAATTACTTCTTTTTTTTTATTTTTAGTGCTTCTAATCTCTCCCCCACAACACAGAACATCCTAAAAATGCCATCTTAAAGTTGCAGTGACTTGGAATATACTAAGTATATACTCCGCATGTTAATTCTCAGATTGACTCCGTAATTTAACAACCTGAATATATTCTTTGGGGTGGCTGGTGGATTATCACTGTGTTGAGTGGCTGGCAGCACGTAGTGCATCTGTCACCTTATAATAATTGGGTACGTTTGTGAGGTTGCGTGATACTTACTGCATTATTGAACTCAAAACATATTTATTACAATTAAGAGAAGCTCTTTACAAATATATAATTCATGGTTAGCAGAGACAGTTATTGAAATGAATCATAGTTCTTATAGTGTGAGGAGGCTGCTAACGAGGGTCTCTCTATCTGAGAGTTGTGAAGCATTCTAGGTCTCTCTAATCGAGAGTTCAAGAGCATTCTAGATCTCTCTAGTCGAGAGTTCAGAAGCCTTCTGACGTGTCGTTCCGATGAAAAAGATCTTCAAACTGAATTACGCACACCTCCTTAATTTTTCAGTAGTAATTTACATCCTCTGATTTGGCATATCTGGAACGATATCAGAGGAAAAACACAATCATTGGTTCGTCAGCCCTCTTGAAATCGAGAGGTTTTGACGACAGACACGATGAAAAGCGCTAACATTTCCTGACACTCGTCGTGAAGCTATGTCTCTTGCAGTGTCATTTAATTATTGAGTCTGCAATGTCAGAAACATGTCACGTGGCATATCGTAAAAGCTTGGAAACAGTGACTTGCGGGGACGGCCTACACGATTTTCTCATCTCTATGTGGTCCGCCGCTTTTCTTCAAGGGATACACGAAGATTGTTTTGAAGATGTTAATTCTCAGGGGTCTTGAGTACATCGCCATTTAACCTCCTAACACCTTTCATACAGAATTCTACTGAGGATCGTAATGTTTGTTCTCAGCTATTCTGACGGGTTTCGGTTTTTAGAGTTTGCAGAAATGAGAATATGCAGGCTTTTTAATATTTTTAATTATTTATTGAACTTCATATGTAGAACGTGGGTATCCACGTTATACTTTGGAGAAAAAACGTTGGTATCCCTATTGTTTCTTAAATTAATTTAATTGAGCTTTTACAGATATAATAATTTTTAATATTTAAAAAATAATTATATAAAATTATTTATATAATTATTTTTAAAATATAAATTTTATAAGTATCTAATTATTAACAACTTAAAATTTGATAAAGAGTGAAGATTAACAAACCATTAGCCCACTTAAAATGTGTCGGCAGTACCAGTAAAATAGTTTGAAATCCTAAAAAGAAAAAACTTAAAATAGACGGTAAAACCGATCGGAATTGACTTTCCGGGAATTCAACATTACATATTTTGGGTATGCCGAATTTTCAAATATCTTATTTGACTTCCCGTCAATGCACATCACGATTACTAATGGTGAATGTTGAACATATAAGAATATATTTCTTCTCCGTAATTCAGTCACGAAAAAAAAGCACTTGAGACTTAAAATAAGAACTTAAAACACACAGTACATTGAAAATGAGAAAGGAAAATAATAGAAGTTAAAAACTTACTTAATTATACAGTGCGTTCTAAATGAGAAAATAAAATAATAGTAATAAAAAGCTTACTAAATTATGTGACTCAAATCTTATTTATTGCAACAACTTAAACTATTATGACTTCTTATGAACTCTCTTTTCGACCTACACCAGAGCATATCTGTGATTGTCGACATAACACCGGTGAGGGTCCGAATGTACAAGAATGTAATGCAATATTCGATCTTTCACCGATGTATGTGGTAAATGTTGTCATTCTCCGGTGAAAGTCGATCTCCAATCGTTTCACGGTGTTTCAAAAATAAATAAGAAATAAATATTAACCAATTACACGCAATAGCTTTAAATTCTAGTTTTAATTAAACATCCCGCTTCAGGATAACTTGCAAATTTCGCTCACTCTCAGCATGTTACTCAACTCCTTCGCTGCAATTTCTCTTGCACTGCGAAATATTTAGCTCAGTCGCTGCTCAGGAATAACACAAAGACTTTCTGGCTTATACCACCGCAAGTTAGTACGCATCACCTTTTCTCGCCTTCTGTTGCTTTGTTGCTTTTCTCGCCTGCTTGAATAAATCATGTCTCTGCCTTCTTTCCCTATGTTAAAAAAAATGTGAACTCTTTATTTAAAACTTTTGAGGAGCAGATTGCTCCCATTATGCCGTGCTATTCAATATGATGTTTGAATAGCGTAACTATCAAAAACTAAAGCTATATTGTGATTAGGCAATAAGATTTTATGTTTGTTCTAAGAGTTCAACACATCTATTACGCAGTCTGCATATGCATTATCGATATATGTGCGCTTCGAAATACTTCCAACTTTGTAAATCTCCTGTCTGGAAGCAAAAATGTTTGTTTACTATACGGCATTTGCTCGGAATACGACTTCAGTTCGATGAGCCTCGACTGACACTACACTTGTTCACCTCTTTCAAGATAATGCTACGACTGCACATTCAATAACTGAATATAACTCTGATGTTGCGAGAAACATTTTGTATGTGTGTATGTTTGCACAAATGTTTTGTAAATTCATAAACAATGAATTTTAGAAAAGTTAATGAGAGAATATTATTAGAACCACCATGGAGAGGGAAATAAAGAGATTGTTGAAAAGTATGAAGATAGCATGCGTATCCGGGACTTAGCTACTGCATACCGCACACGGAGTATGATGATATCTACGCTTATGAGAAACAAGGACGGTAACGTTACGAAGGGAATGAAATGGAATACCAAATAAAGATCAGAGACATCAGAACAAGTTGAAAATTGATTTTTATAGCAAAAAGCATTCATGTACAATCTCATGTGCAGTGCTTCATTCATAAACATCACCCTAGCATTTGTATTTTAGTCTTAAACAGTGTTATAATAATAACAGGAATTTTTTTATAAGAATAC